GCCAATTTGCAGGTTAGGACTAATATTTTTTCTTGATGGTAGCCCGTCTGTTATTGATTTTTACTTTTATTACAGTGGTAGAGCCCGCTTTAACATCTTCGCACGAATGGGTCGGCTCGCCCGGTGTAACACAATGTTATACAATAAAAACAGGCGTGAAGTGGGAGCAATTTCGCGTTTCATCTGATGAATGTGGTGCCGAAGGCCCACTTTAGTCTCTTTTCCTTCCCACCTTTCTTATAATAAATGCATGGGAAGGGAAGGTGGATTAGACGGTGCAGGAGACGCATAGGACAGGAAAATATCCTCTTTATGTGCATCTCCTCCTCCATCAATTAAGAATGGTCAGCGGTCTCTTCGTCAGTTTGGCTTTATCAGGTTGCTTGCTTGTTTGCAACCTTAAGATAAAAAAAATGTATTTTTTAAAGCAGCCCTTTTTACTTTTATATTTGTGATAAATATTAAAAAGTCCCGTTTGTAACAAACAGCTGCCACACGTTGCAATGGAATAAATTTACTGAGCTCGTAGATAAGTGGCTAGATGTCGTTTAACATCATTGTACCGAGAAATGGAAGCATGCTCTATAAAATAATGAATTTACTTCCTATAAAGTATACTTTACGTAAAAGGACTGGAGATTTTTCCATTACTTAATCTTTACTACAAGTAAATAAATACTTTCAGCTATTGCCCCTCATTTCTTTTGTGTTTTTAATACGTTTATTGAATCAAAGTATATTAAGACTTGATAAAAATAAACCGTAGGTAAACCAGGATAACATAACTAGGTTACAGATTTTTTTTTACATCACAAAGGTTGAATATTGGTTTTAGCGGGTTATTTCAGTAGATTAGTACTTTATGAAATGAAAATATATAATTCAAAATAAATGTAAATAAGAAACTCTTTAAAGTTCCTGGAATTCCACAGTTGTTTGTATTCAAACAGTGAATATTAAACATTGACTTTATTTGTACAGTTGAGGAAATGTATTTCCTACCCTAGTGAAATATCATTTAATTATTCGAATTCAATTAAGTCGAAAATGTGTCAAAGGTACATACATCTGTGTTGAATTATATCGCTTATGGTAATGGTTTGCTGTAAAATATTCGATCTAGAGTGGGAATTAAATTTAGTTCTCTGACTGCGTAACTTTTGAAAATGGGAAAGTAGCAGGCACTGTGGAGTTTAATCTTTCAGTAGGTACTTATCCGTTTTATACCAGATAATAACGGAACGATGAATATTATCCTTCTATTGTACTATTTTATTAATTTTTTAATACTCGTAAGTGGACGGGAATTAAAGTTGCCGATAACAATAGAAAACGTTTCTAATTTTATAGATTCATTCCTTTGTAATGATTTGATCATTGGTTTAAGTTTTTTTACAAATATGATAGTAATTTATTGAGATTAGATGTTTAATAAAGCTGACGTGATTATTAAAAAAACGAAGTTATCTCATTACTAATTAACACGCTCACTGCGTAACAGGTCGATATCGGCCCGACGCGGCACTTAAGTGCGGACGAAGAAAACTTTGCCCCTCAAGCAAGTACGAAAAGATTATCTCAAGTACACATTACATTACATAAAATGTATGAGTTATGTTTCCGCAAAGTTATAGCAATTTAATCTATCCTAGTGATGGAGGGTCTAAAAAGACCTGCCACTCACTGGCGGAAATATCATTGGTGGCTCATTTTTGCGTGCCGCCGCACCAGATGGAGTCATGATCTTACTTGCCGCAGTAAACGTGTTAACGTTGTAATTTTTTCTATTGTGTTCATGTGTAAAAGTAATTTAAAGAAAAAGAAACCGATTATGTCATATCCGCATAGTTCAAATATGCCCAATATTAGTAAATGTGGTAAGCAATTTATCTATTTCATCACGTTTCAAGATTCTATAGAACAATACCTCGGGAGAATCGATACAAAATATTTTTCTGAACAACGTTTTGACACTCCCATGTCATCGTCAGTGCGGAATGAAAAAGTAGCTTATAATATTCCTGCATTCATTAGCAAAATTCCTGTCAGAATTTGCCCAATCATTTTCCAGATTACTCGAAACAAACGCAGCCAGATGGACAAGAAATTTATAAATTACTATTAGTTACTTTTATTTGTTACTAGCTTTCGCCCGCGACTCCGTTCGCGTTAAATAAAAAAAAAAACTGAGTCGCCTATATGTTTTTCTAAACTATCCTCTAGTTCTCTGTCAAATTTAATCGAAATAACATTCAGCCGTTTAGGCTACAAACTCTAACAAACATCCATCCATCTAAACTTTCGCATTTATAATATTAGTAAGATTACATACAAACAATTTAATACGTATAAATAGTAACAAGAAATGAATACTTAATTACTTCCAATGATCTGCTATTTCATGATAAAAAATACTCAATTCTCACGAATCCATAAAGTTATGAAAACAAAGAGGAAATGGTTGGAACTCAATTTATCATTGTAAAAAATTTTCTTTGTTCGTGCATTACTGAACGCTTTTTACTCCAACCCTCACGCAAGCGGCCGCTCCCTACTCTACCTTATTAGTTAATTGCTTTAAACAGTTTTGAATTTTAGAACTGTATAAAAATTATTATTTATGTAACCCTTTTAAGGTAAGGTTTTTGTTACTAAAATTTTTTGACATGTCACGAATGTCCTTTAAGGCAGTTTTAATTTATGTTTTCACTCCGGTTTTAACTAATTGTGCGAACTCTAGTTTTTTCTTCTTCTTCTTCGTATCTCCATTGCTGAAGGTCGTGCTTGCCCTGGTAAGCTTTTACCGTTTACTCTACCAGCTGCCTCCACGCCGCCCTGTCTTCGGCTCCTCTCAGAGCAGTCAGAGTGTTGAGTCCCAGTATGGACTGCACCTGATCGGTCCATCGGGTAGGTGAACGCCCTCGTAACCTTTTGCCCTCGATTTTTCCAACCACTACCAGTTTGTCCGGTTGTCTTCGAGCAATATGTCCAAAGTATCCCAGAACTCGTCGGTAGCATATTGTGGATAGCCTGGTTAGTTTCTAGCTTGGTTTAGTTTTTAAAGACGGCTCTATTATACATAAGTTTGTGTTTAACTCTACATATGTACCTGTCGGTTGAAATATGACTTTACTGCATTCACTTGTTAATTGAAGGGTCATTATTAATGACCCGGGTTAATTATAACAACATTATTTTCTGTTATTTTACTGTAGAAGCAGTTTTTAAAGTTATTAGTTTCTTGGACATCATTTTATAATAATAATCCTCTTTAAATTACCACGTAAAGAGTTAATAATGTTTTCATCAAAATTCTTACGTCATACGATGTTAATTATATTTTAATTAGGTTAATGTCTGGTCATTTTTGAAAAGCTCTAACGGAAATTACTCGTCCTTGTTTCATTACAAGTTGAATTTATACCAACCTTTGACTATAGAGAAATGGATTACGTAAGGAGCCCGCCGCGCTGTTATACAACACTAAATTCTGCTACTTTACGCGGTATTAGGTAATGACCACGCATGTGCATTATATTGCTGACACTAACGTAAAATCTATACTATTACAATAAAGCGTCAACACACATTTCTTTGTTGCCTAAGATGTCTTCAATTACAGCATGTTTTTGAATACTTCTTTTTTTAATAAAAAGCCCTACACTTACGTCACGCTTTAAGCTATATTTTCACGCCATTACACTTAGGGGATATATATTTTGAATAAAAACCCCAATGTGGGAAAGAGGCCAATAGTTGCCACCAACATCAAGGAAGGAAGGTAGCCCTGGCTTGTCATCGTAATGTCATTTTGACATTTGCAATTGATAATATGACACATGTAAACAATAAAATTAAATTTTCATAGTTTTATGCGGATGAAGTCGCACGGGAACAGCTAGTTTATATATCTTTATGAAAGCTTATTTGGTTAAAATTAACACACACTAGATATAGTAGCAGCAAATAACTTTAAAACTTATTGTTTTTTTAGAGAGGAATGCGCATTTAACTGATCCTGTCATTGAAGGTCAAAGATATACAGCGAACAAACCCTAACGCAAATGATTGTCAAATAGAACTATTACGGCCTATCCTCGTACTATCCTAAACAAATACTGATAGGCCTTGTAATACAATTGGATCAATACGAAAGGTTTATTCTTAAAATTAAATGACAAGCGATAGACTATAGATTACATTATGAATATTTAGTGAATTTCGTTTTAATACAACCTTCATGTATATTTTTATCCCATCCATAAATTTAGGAGTTTCTTACGCGGCAATTAGGGGCCCCAGTATGAATTTTATCTTCACCAACGTTTAGATGTCACCTAAGTACAAAATTTTGCTACATTTCGGGTAACCCTGAACCAAAGAGACTTGAGGGATAGTTGGTGAAAACGGGCATCAGAGTCATAACTTCGCTAAGACAGTTTCTTACTGCCGCAATTAGTGAACTTTCGATGATTTTGTATGAGGTTAATTCAGATCCAAAGAGACAAATGTTCAACAAGAGTCTGATTTAAAGGGAAATATACTGTGATTTTATCAATCATCTGCACTTCAATCTATCTTATTAATATTATAAATGTGAAAGTTTGGATGGATGTTTGTTAGAGTTTATAGCCTAAACGGCTGAACGGATCTCGATGTAATTTGGCATAGATGTATTAGAGTACAGTCTGGAAGAACAAATAGGCTACTCAGTTTTTTTAATTCCACGCAGACGAAGGACGAAAGCTAGTCATATCCATAATTTTCCAATTTCTTAATAACTACATCTGCAGAGTTAAATCTTTGTAAAGTGATATTTTTTATGATATTGCATTTAATGTTGCTCCTTAATCATGACATTCAGAGACCAGTACATTTTAAGGGGAAAAATGAAAGGTTTTCATTGTAACGTCACGCGAAATTGATGGGCGTACCATGAGTTGACCAAGCAAGGGGGCGATAAACCGTTGCATCGCTTCAGTCTAACGCCCGTACTCGCTTTGGTCACACGCCAATTTTTATTTTTATATCTAACCACGTGGTTATGACGTGACGCTTGCGCACACAATTACTAAATGGAATTTGTGTTAATTTATTGTTTTTAATAACAAATGACTATTGTTTTTATTTTAAATTTGAACATTTAATTGGAACCAGTTTAGTTTTTTTAATAAGTGATTAAGTTTCTGAAATACAATGTTTGAAAAATTATTTTTATTGTTTGCGTGTCTTATATTGCCGAGGCCATCATATATGAACCCTGATAATATAGGTATGTTTTTATCTTATTTACTATGTTTTGAATTTTCTTGTTTATGTAGAGTAGAGATAAACGGTAGCTAAACGGATTTCCGTTCAAATTGTTAGCGTATAGATATCAATATACTATTTGTGGGTGGAATATATTATTAATTTGTTTTGTTTTTTAATCGCTCATTTATTTATGATGAGTAAATACCCAAACACGATATTGTGTCTTATCACCGGATATAATGTATGATATTCAGTGAGCGAATTGGTGGATTATTTAGTTCATTGTATACGCTCGTAGGTATATAATTTAATTAGAATTAATTTGTTATGGTGACGTTTTTCATTAATTCATAAGGGAACGAGGTAGACCACGAATAGTTTTTGTTACGCGACCATTTAAACTATTTTAATATAATATGTAAATGACAAAATCAATAAAGCCGTGGGCTTCCATCGCTATAGTTTTCATATAAGAGGTTATTATATACGTAATTCTGTTTGAAACAAATAGAGAAAACATTGTATTCTGTCAGTGGAAACTCACGGTTAATCTGTTGACATCATTCGTCAGAATACGAACTCACACACATACAAATAAAATCTATATTATACAAATTAATCGCCCTAGCTAACATGTAAAAAACAAATCAACGCAAGTGTTCCCTAGGGGAACATGGGATTGCGTTGTAATTCTGTATGTTGGTAGTCTGAAGGGTGTCCGACAGGGAAATTCTATAGTAGTCATAAGTATAATAAGACAATACACTTCTTCAGTTAGAAAATAACAATAATAGTATTAAAAAATGCGAAAGCTTAGATGGATGGTATTTGTTAGAGTTTGTAGCAACGGCTGAACGGATCTGAATTAAATTTAGCGTAGATGTAGAGCATAGTTTGGAAGAACACATAGGATACTTTCTTTTGTTTTTGTAAATACCACGGACTGACGCACTGGCGAAGGCTATTTTGAAATAAATTAATATACAAATCTGTAAAATCTGTTTTGGGATCTTATTTTCCTATAATTTTGTATTCGAACGTTTTTTTCCTTAATTCTACATTACCAATGGCCCTTGAGTAATCAATATACGTAGCGTAAACTGTAATATCCTGAGATTTCTCACACAACTTGGAGACTTATATGTCGTAAGCCGTCGCGAATGGAGTCAAAGGAAAGTTCCGGATGCGAATTAGCTCGTCTCAACGATTTTCTATTTATTTTATATCAAACATGTTCCAGTTATTTGTAAACAGATAAAATGTTTCGTTTCCTTCAAAGTCAGTATTTACGTAATTGAACGTTTGAAGGCATGTTTAGATTTTTGTTGATCAAATTAATTTAAATATTAATTTTCTTCTTTATACTTTCATAATTTACTAACTGCCGCTTTAGTAGTTGATTATCCATGTGGCAAATATCATCCACTAATAATACATTGAACCATTTAAACTACTGCATCTACAATATTAGTCAGAAATACGAGAAAAATCAAATGATGTCAACTAACACTATAATATCTATTTTAACTATTTGTTACGTAATAAAAGCAAAAGTGACAGCATCCGTAGACAACCAATAGATAAAAAATGACCGATGGCGATTTTACTGAAGTAGGGCAAAGCTAAGAATAATTGTGTTAACACGAACTAAACTAGCGATCGTAGTTAAGCCTTGAGTAGGGTTTAAACTGAGGACAAAGTTAGATATAGTAAAACAGTTAAATAACCTTTAGAACTAGATTATCGATTATAAAAATTGAAGATCTTTACTAATATTATAAACAGGAATAATTTGTATTTTTAAATATTTGTATTTGTTGATATAACTCAAAAACTGGACCGATTTCGAAACATAGACTACTTTTATTATTTTATTAATTTCACGCGGGTGAAGTCGCAAGCAATAGCAAGTGTTTAATTAGTTTGGTTTTTTCAGGTTTGTTAGCAAGTACGCTAAAAACCATGCAAATAGCAGCTTGTGATGACGAAACCGTCTCGTTACGCTGTCCTGCAGGTACTTCAATAAGTATCCAATTCGCAAAATACGGAAAAGCCGCTCCCCAAGGACATAAATGCGTTATGGAGGGATTGGATTTCGGAGGATTGGGAACATTGGACAAAGAAGTGTGTCTATTGCCTAATTCTATGCAGGTAGGTGAAACTATCTTTTTATTGAATAGGAGATAAGGAAACGAGTAGTAAAACAATTGAAAGTATGCATCGATGCCCACAGACTTCGTAACACCAGATAAATTAAAGACGAGTTGTCGGCTTTTGAAGGAGTTTAAATAATTGAGGTTTGGAAATACCACTGAGAACAAATTATTCCACAAAGCGTCTGTAGGCATGAAGTTTTGACTAAACCGCACCATTAATACCAATAGACCTGTATAATATGATGCTAAGATGAGTATTCTGCGATTATATCCGTCTCGTGCATATGCGATATTTTCATTTTAAAGTTTATGATAGATATATTAAGCCCGCTACACACGCCCAGTTTTATCTGAACAGTCCGAACGTTCAGATAAATCTAACAAAACTGGGAACTGTTCAGTTCTTAGTTTTGCCTGCACGCGTTAGAGAACTGACCCGGAGCGTGTGTAACGGACTTTTCTTGGTTAGATTAATTTTAATTTAGAGTTACATTTGTTTTGTTTTTACAGTATTACATTCTACAAACAGTGGTTGAGACATGTCAAAAGAAGCCTCAATGCACATTCAGTACGAAGACTAAGCCGGGCACTGTGGACCCCTGTCCATCGTCCAGGAAGTTCATTGAAGTAGCGTATAAGTGCAAACCTTGTAAGTATCTAATGTGTTATCTTAACATATTGAGATACGTTTACACTGCTCAAATACCTGTACAAAAATGTATAAAAACTTGTTTTTGTTTCGGCAGTAGAAACTCATTGCAAGCGCAGTTATTACGATGTAAATGTAGGTGAAGACGTGACGATTTTTTTTATTCGACTCTTGTATTTCAAACCATACGATTACATAACATACGATTTATTTAAATCACTAAGGTTTTTTTGTAACGTGAAACTTTTTACTTGAAAAAGCAAAAATTTAGATTGGAGTTCGACCATAAAATAACGGAAGTTAGAGCTGACGTTTTCGGTTAACCGAAACAAAAGAGTAGGGAAGTGTATTCACTAATCATGGGGCTAGGTTTTTTACGAGGGCACCGGCGAGTGTATTGATGTGATTTATGCTGCGTTATTAAATTCCGAAGCCGGGTCGGTGGCCGGTGCGACGTGGTGCGCCGCGGCCCGGGCGTGGCTAACCACAGGAGTGGACTGGGTGCGCCCTTATTAGTTGAACGAGGGACTAGCGTGTTGCATTAGGTTACGGAAAAACAATTACCGTAGTACACTCTACGTTAAAATTAAGTAATACACCAATAGACAGTAAAATTATATTTTTTCCTAAAGTGCAATGGATGCATATTTTTCAGCAGGCTTCTTTCAAGTTACAGCTTGTTGTATATTTATTTATAATACTTACATTTTTTCCTAGAAAATAATTGAAGTAACGCGCATAATAAAGTTTTTAAAGTATACTTACTACGGGTATTTATTTTTCCGTAATGTTGAGCTTAAAAGAATTGATCTACATTATTTAAAAAAAATAACTGACAATATTATTTTTAAGCGTAATTGTTGTTGAATGGAATATTTCGGATGGTATTCCCAACGTAGTATCAACTCTGATAATGTTTTATGTTTATTAATAATAAAAAACACTTAATAACATTGACCTTTTATCTAAATGATATCAGTGGATTTTCTCCATCGTTTCATCTTTGATTTTTTAATAAAAACATTCATTATAAATTTCGTTTCCGAAAGTCAATACATTCTCAAGGAATCATTAAAAGATTTTTTACTTGACACCATTAAAAATTTACAGTCAAGTAGACCACAATAAGGAATACGGTCTACTGAACCTACTCAACCAGTATTTCTGTCTGAAATGTCAATAGAAAGCTTAGCGTTGTAATTAAGATAGTCTAGATTTCCCGAGTGCAATGAATGTGTCCTGTCCTTACCGGACATATTTATGTTCTAGGTTATACTGCGTTTTAATTTTCATTTAAATGGATTAATCGTATAACAAATAATTATAATTTAGTCATATTCTCCAAATCTACATTTATAATAAAATTGGAGTGTCTGTTTGTATTTGCGAAAATAGCATTTTAAAAAATGTTGTCTGTCCGCAAGCCCTGTATGTTCCGGGAAATCTCCGAAACGGCTAGGCCGATTTCGACGGGCATTTAACGAAAGAGTAGCTAGTAGCATATTATAACTAGCTACTTTTTATCTTAATATTTCGTGGGCAAAGTCGCGAGACAGCTAGTATTAGTATGAAAATGTAATAATCGGTAAAGCTCACGGAAAAATACCGGACGAATGATTTCAATATTTGGGGAAATAAAATAAATCTTCTTATAGAAAATATCGTTTCGGATGTTATTTATACTTGACTACATTTGTTTGATTCGATCAGTATTTTTCATATCGTTAAGCAATAAAAGCTTAGTAAATAAAACAGCTATCATAAGGTTGGGAATACACGTGACTGTAAAATGAAGTAGTGTCTAAAGCTTGCCAGTTACTGGCGCAATACGCAATTATATGCCAGTTAAATGTTCACGAGATCTTACACGAGGAGATGTGTCAATGTCAAGCTTAGTGACTGTCACAAAATCTTATATCGTACTAGTTACTTGTATGCCAGTTAGCGTTTTACATTACTGTAGCTGCTAGCACGTATATCTCGCCTTAATAGTAAGATAGTGTTAACAGAAATATTTTACTATTCATTTATCTTGGATAAGTTCTAAAGTTAAGCATAACATAAGCAATACTTTCAATAACATTAATAATACTTGGGTATTATTGAATCGATTTACAGTATTCTAAATCAACATTAAAATATATGATAAAATAATCAATGATTTTTTTTAGTTGAATTCCGTAGTCGTACTGGCTGTGAAAATGATGTTTTGGCGGTGTCTTGCGATGCACATACACGGATAGCTGTGCTCGACGCTCAGTATGGCCGTACTGCCTTCGAATCAAGCAAATGTCCACAAACAGATGGAGTTCCTGATGAGAGTAAGTATAATATTAATGTTTTTAACCTTGAAAATACGTCTTTGGCCTTACGCAATGCGCAACGGATCTAACTATAAATGTATTTTGCTGACGGCTTTTTATTTATTAGTGCTGACTAAAATTTTATAGTTACCAAAATATACTACGTAATACCTTAAGTAGATGCAGTTTAGATTGATTGTATCTTTTTTTAGAAGTTAAGTTGCTTACCAGCTTTTTACTTACTCTACAGAGAAAATATTAATTGGGAGTACAGTTTTATAATTAATGACATTTCCCTAAATTCAGAGACCAAACAAAAATTACAGAATCTTAATTACATCTTGATTAAAGTTCTATTTCTTGTTTATGGCTCTCCCTCAGCGGATTGGGAGATTAATTTTTGAGTTTGCACAAATTAATAAATAAAGAATAGAATTTTGAGGAATTCAAAAGTTTAACAATTAATGATTTTAATTTTTAATCGTTTAATATATTTTTAGCATGCAAAGCACCACACACAACGGAAACTGCGATGCAGATATGCCACGGCAAACGTCGATGTCAAATATCTGTTACACAAAACATTTTCGGATCTCCCTGTGGTCCTGAATCGAGACCTTATCTTAAGATTGTGTACGCTTGCGGTAAGTAATTAATAATTTAATGATAAAATAAGAGATATTAAATTTCATTTTTAGCATTGAAAAGGCAGAGAAATAATTACATTGGTTGTGTATACTATCATTTGTTTAATATGAATAATATCTTTCCTAGTTCCCCTGGATGTTCTGACAGAGAAATACGAGAGTGCACTGGAAAGAGATGAAGTCACGGATTTCTTATCTGGAGTTGAGGATAACTTTTTCGGAGAAACTGGTGAGTGACCTTGAAACTGAACCTTTGTTGGATTTCGGATAGTATTGATGTTAGTTTTAAGTCAGATATCGAGATGTTTAGTTTAATAATAAAAATGTTTCAGATGAATTTGGTGAACAAAATGGATCTCCTTCCATCGCGGTTCCAGCGCCACCATCATCGTACGACAACCAACCGACAATAGATGTTACAACAATTGCTGCTAATAAAAATAACGACGGACCATTACCTGAAGCAACAAATTCTAAAACACCTAAAATGTTAATATATGCAGCTGTCAGTATTCTTATATTGATAACGCTTGTATTTGTTCTATTAGTTATACGTTATTTAATGAAACGTAGAACAAAGAACAATCCTAAAACTAATGATATGTTCACAACTGAAACTCCGAATATATTCGGCGATGGGCTTTCTGATATTGACAATGATGTTGATGTAAGTCACATTTCTGGTACTTTTTATGATCCTGTACATCCTGATATGATTCTATATAAAGATGTACCAGGAAATACGACTTTAAGAGCTATGCGACCTCTTTCAACAGTGTATCCATGTTCCAGTACTAATATGTATGGTACTGTAAACTATCCATCACATACGCGAGATTACTCAACTAGTAGATTTAGTGAGAACAAAGCGGTTGATAATGATATTATTGTTAGTCCAAAGAGTTTAAGAGGTTATACGAATTCCCAATTCTTTTACGGCTGACGTCTAAATTGCTTTGTTAATTCTCCAAGTATTATTTTTGTGTTCAAGGTATATCTAAGGTAATTTTACGCTACTCTGTTGAAATAAAAACCATATTACAAGCTTTTAAAGCAAACCAAGTTACCTTTGAGCCTTGTCCTAGTCACTATGTTATTAATATTTATAATTACGTCACATTTTGCACTTGTCATACTTATTTTAATTGTATTAAATTTACTATTGTCCATGTTTACTCTAAGATCCAATGCTAACTTGACCTTTCCAAAAATATTATCTACATTTTCCTGTATTTTAAATTTATTCAATGTCTTGTAAAATAATTGTAATTTTCTTAGCTTTTTATGTGGTTTAAAATAATTTTTATTGAAAAGGAAGTTAATTCTCTTTGTAAATTTTTCAAGAATATGAACTAGGTATAATAGTGAATTTAAAAAAATGCTTCATCAACAACGTGCCCTTATTCTTACGTCAGTACAGTGTACCTTTCATACATTTCTACAAAGTGCCCTTGTTCTTACGTCAGTACAGTGTACCTTTCATACATTTCTACAATGTGCCCTTGTTCTTACGTCAGTGCAGTGTACCTTTCACACATTTCTACACTTTCTCCTCTACTATCATCGCCATCATCTCCACGTATAATGTTAATACTTTCCGAAATGAAAAATTGCATGAAAGTTTTAATTGTTCTTTGTTTTATTGGCAAATCTTACGGGAGATTATGTTGTCTGCTTTCAGCTGGCTCTCAAGCTACGTGACGTCACCAGTGCTTAATAAGTGCTGTGAGCACTGAGAACTAGAAGAGAGTTAGTAGGCATTTCTTTTAAACCTTTTTATAATTCAAAAGTTAGTTTTATAAGGGAATTCGCAAACAATCTTTGGATTTAGGACGAAAATTTCTGGAAAGGTCATTAAAAAAAATCATTTTTTTAATTGATTTTTGCATTATAAACTGTTAGATAAGTTATTTGTTTTGTACATATTTTTTAATAAAACTAAATGAATACTGTGTATTAATTTTAATTTTTTGCACTCCCTTGCTTAAGTAACACTAACGGTCCATAAGCAAAAGATATTCCGCATAATTTGTTTCTAAGTAAACTTGGATGTTTTTATTATATTTAGTTAATAATAAACAATACTTACGGTACATTTGAATTAACATTGTTAATGTTTTATTGATTTGTTATTCTGTATTTACAAAAATGTTCTATGAGGATGTCGTTAATTTCTCCCAACGAGGCTTACGTTCTGAATGTAACAACGAAAATCCATTATGGCTTTACGATTTCTATAAAGGCCAAATAATGGATGTAATAAAAAGAGGCTTTTGTTTATGTTAAAATAATCATCTTTAACAAACATCTATTCAGATTTTATTAATAAAAAACACGTCATTACGATACACATATTTACCTACCTCTCAGATGTACTGTCTACAGAAGTAATAGGTTTATCAATATATGGTGTTCGGCCGAATACTGAAACGAATTTGCTCTTTTTAAGGGTCGGTAGTAATTCAAAATGTTGATACAATTTAGAGATTTGCATATTTAAATGTTTCAGTAGTCAGTCATAAGTATGCTTTGTTTATACTTCTTGTGTTGTTATCATAAAGAAAGGAAACATGAAAACTTGGAATTATTAAATCGTTTCCACCATCATTCAATCATTTGTATTTATTAATAATTTGCAACAATAATTAATCGTACTATACGGCGTAATAAAAGAGTTATGCAGTTAGAAAGAAATCTAAATCTTCAATCGAATTCGAATGAAAAATTTTCAAATAAAAATATGACGTTGAATTATAATAAAATATTTATGGCGTAAAACATAATCTCGTTCTAAGATGTGAAATTTAAAAGTGTAAATAACCTAAAAACAGACGTCTGTTCAAATATTATAAAAAAAATGAGAAAATACGGTACATTTCATAATCGAAAAATCCGTTTTAAAATCTGCAAGATTCTTTTAACGCCGAATGTTCACTGAGTTATTTAAATTCTATGAAAAATCTGCTGGATGATATATAAACTTACAAAAAACGTACTTAAACTTTGTAAAGAACTTGTAAACTACTTTTAAACTTTAAATAAACAAGATATAAAGTGGCTAAGGTTAGTTGGTATTCTAGTTTTCCAATAACTCCTCGCGAAGGTAAATATATTTCCACATATTTATGGTACTTTATCATACATTTTAGAAAATATCAGACATCCAGCAATTGTAAAAATAACATTTTACGTTTCTTATATAAGTGACTATGTATCAATTGCATAAAACATTGTTGATTTCTATCTGCATTGTTTTGTTACAAGATATAAAATAGGCTAATTTTTAAGAACATTTTAATATTTCGTAATAAAATTGCAAATAGTCTAAAAACTACGTAAAATGCGTGACACATTTTATAGCGTAACGCTCTTAAAATGATGCAAAAATAAATTTAATAAGCGTATTATATATTTTTATTTTCAGACGTTGTATCTTTGTGTAATATTGTATTTCAAACCAGCAGGACATGAAATATTCAGTCTGGCAGGATTTAAGCCCTCGTGCAACAACTGTGACAGAATAAGCGTCCACCTCGCCCGACAGTTTGAATCCAAGTGGAACAAAGCCCTCTGGTGTCTAGTTTGTAAAACAATTACAATAATGTAATTCAAGTAGTTAAAAGTGCTGTATTAGCAAACATTTATGAGTTTCCTCAACTTTCATCATTTGTGATATACCTTTTTCAATCTAATTATCACATTAAACTTATCATTTATTATAATTATTATATTATTATAATTAAGTGTAGAGTGCAGCTAATTAATTTTTTTTACAAGGTTAGAACGATAATTTTTAAGGGACATAATTATAAAGTTGAACGCAACTTAACTTTAAAACTCATTCCAGCTAACAATATGCAAATTTTAATTCAAACTCGACCAATATATTAAATTAATGCAAATTATAAGTGAGGTAAAGCACCCGAACTTAAAACTTTAAAGAAAGTATAAAGAAACCGAAAGACTATTAACAAAAAATTCTTTCGTATTTTCTTTTTCGTTACTTGATATTTTTGGACGGATAAAATTGGACGCAAAAAGAGAAATGAACGTTAAAATGTATTCCATATTTATGTTCACGAAATGGTTTATCTTAGGCGGCTCCGCAATCTTGTTATTAGCATAGCAAACAGACAGATGAGCAGACAGCGAAGCAATCAAGCCCTATTTGAGAGGAAGTGTGAATAAGATTAATTAGTTAAGCCGGTAAATGATTAAAATATTCACGAACATTTCGTAGATTTAGACCCTTCGTACATATAGCAACGTAAATCGTAGAGACCCGTTGACTTTTATCACGCGACTTACGCAATACAAATTTAAAGATATTTGTAGACATGCGTCGCAGACATTTAATTCTTTCGTTGCTGAAACTAGTCACTCGTTTGTTAAGATAAAAAGTCACGATTTTCAGGATGACAGATAAAAATACAATTGACATTTTGTAGTTCCAATCGCTATGCATATAGTGACCAAATAGACGAGACGCATTGATGATTCAATCATACGTGAAGATAGAATACTATATTAGTATCAAGATTCAGGCTGCTTGGTGTAGAAAGTGCCTTAAATTACCAGAATTTACAACATTTAGAACAGAATTATAATTGTAAAAATAAATTTACATGCAGCAATTTCTATATAATATATTTAATTAAGAATAGAATCTTAGTAAAGAATACTACCCAGAATGCAACAGTAAGATTACATTGTCAGTTCACAGTTCACACAATATTGGCTAATGAAAAATTTAAGAGAAGGTGAGCTACCAGTATAAGCAAAGGAGATCGGTAGCAGACACGACCACAAGATGTAATATAATCAATCACAAAGTTCACAATGAGCTGACGCCACACATCCGGCAGTACCACATAATCAATCAAACTGGAAGGACCCATGGAAAACTAATTCCTGGAAGAAGCACTTTGAAAAACTACGCCCAACAAATTACATCGTACTGAAAATTCAACCTCGATTAAAGTTAAAATCATTACAGTTTAACATTTGTAAAATTTATAAAGATTGTTGTTTTTTTTACCTTTTTCGGGAAAAAGTAGTCACAAATTTTCTTATATTTGAGAAGGATTCTTTCATGTCAGATGTTGTTTGTAGTAAGTAAAATTTTTGTCTCTTCCAGTTCACGGCATTCATATCATAGATGTTCGGGAACATCCTATGCCGTCTGTATCAAGGTAATCTGTGAATCGACGCTAAATCTCGTAGGCGTGCAATCAACACTGCATTAGCTGGTATACAGCTACCAATCAATCTCCCTTATTCACGTGTATCGGTTTTGTGTTTTGATCATGGCCACTTCTAGCTCGTAATCCTATAGGCTTAGAACGTCGAAATTCATGTCCACGAAAACCACAATACTGAGAAAATCAAATACTAGTTTCTGCTTTATTCTGTTTGTGAACTGGTCAAGTATCAATATTACTGTTGCTTTAATGAAAAATTATGAACGCATTCGATTGGATGTCCTACACTTCTATATGTTTATATTAACAAACGGAACAAATAACTTCTGAAGTAACGTAAAAATAAACTAGTAACCAAATCGAACCCTGTGATGTTAATATACAATCTTACATTAATCTGAGAGTATACTAATATTAAAAAGAGAAAATGTTTATATTTTTGAATTTTTAACAGTATTGAAATAACCCAAAAACTACTGGAACGATTTCAATCACTACCAACTATTTCTTTCACTATTAAAAAGTTTAGTTATCAGTGACATAGGCTATTTTTTTTTATTTAACGCAGATGAAGTTGCGACCAATAGCAAGCGATAAGATAATAAAGCTTAAATGTTTTAAAACCCACCATATTTAAACCCTTATGAAAACGGATAACATAAGTGACGGCTTGGAGAAGGGTCGGGGTATCCTAACCAATTAAATTTTGTCAAATCTAAAGGTTTTCTTATATTTTAAAATGATTTATTACGCTACACTACATTAAGTTAATTTTAGAAACATTAATTTTTTAAATCTCTATTATATGATCTAAACTTAATTGGTATCGCACAACAGTTGTGCGATTGTCGATTGTTTCGCAGCCAATTCAACTGTTTAGTTGCATAACTAAAAATCGAGTAGATGCGCACCTCCATATAAGATCATAGGAATCAATGGGCGACTAAACAGTTGTGCGATAATTTAGTCTTATGTGTGCGAGTGCTCTTAATTTGATTTAATACAGAATCAAAGAAATATTCGTATTTTAAAAAGTAACACGCACACATTCTTTCTCTCTGTGAATTTATTTATAAGTTGTCGATATCTACCTATTAGTCATATCAAAATATGAGATTCGATGCAGTAAAATTTTGAATTCATTTAAAATTTAAAGCGTCATATATTTCAGTTGAATATGTGAGTTTCCTTCGAATGCAAACAGTTGTTTATTGCTTTCCGTAAATTGTGATTTTCATTGCAAATTGTATTGTAAAAAATTTACGGATAAAACTCATGAGTTGGGTGTGTAAAAATTGTACATTCGTAGAATTATTTTTTATTTTTGTAAAATGAATTGTATTGTTATCTATACATAAATTAAAATTGGAGTGTCTGTATGTAATGTCAAAAGACAAATTCCAGATTTCGGGAAGATGTTGTGTTTGCGTTGCTGATAGAATAGCATTAATTTTTTTTGTTTGTTTGTCTGTATGTTTGTACGCAAGCCGCGTTTATTCCGAGTAATCTCCTAAACGGCTTTGCCGATATCAACGAGTCTCTGGAAGGGTAGCTGACATAGACGAGCATATTATAGGCTACTTTATCTTAATATTGCGTGGACGAAGTCGCGGATAACTGCTAGTCATAAATACTTTTAATAACACGAGAGAATGTGTCTCATACAAATGATAAAA